ACCCCTAGTAAGAAAGCATGGTCCGCCAGCATTCCTGGAGTAATTAGAGTTAAGGGTCTTGCCAAAGGACCCAACCATGTCAATCATGGGATTTGAACCCATGAACTCTCAGATATGGGCACTGATCCCAAATCTGATTTAGCACATCCCCCCCATACACATTGACAACGCGTATACTTCAGAATTTTCTATATCGGCTGAAAAATCTCACCTTGCACGATGAGCAGTGTGGTGCTAATGGCCAAACCATCCGCATCCAGAACCTTGTACATTCCCGCATCACTCCGCTTCAGTCGTGGGAGGATCAGCTTCCTGTCACCGGCCTCCATGCGCCACTTGCTGCCCTGAGCATTGCCCCTCTCCCACTTGGTGGCTTCCTCTTGATCCTTGGATGCCTGGAAAATCACGGTGGATGCCTGCGAGGTGTAGAGGCTGAGGGAGAAGTCCTGTCCAACTAGCAGAGTCTGACTAGACTTATGGTCTGTAGGGAGTAGGAGAAAGAATGAGAGACTTTATTGTGCTGTGATGCACATTAGCAATGTCTTCAAAAGGAGGGACTAGGAGACTAGATAATGATTTTTCATTGTACTCCCCTGATTTTATAAATGTATCAATTCATATGTTTATTAATTGACAGTAATGACCACCCAGACAGCAGCCAATCAGCTACAGTATTTGCATGTGACATCATAAAGGGATACACAGAACAGAGGTGTATTACTATACCGTGAATGCCCTGTGTACCTGTGACTGTCAGCTGCACACTTTTTATGAAACTCCTCATCATCCTCCTCTTGTGCTCGGTTATAAGGAAGCTCTCATAGAGTCCAGCGTCCGTGAACCTTGCCTCCCTCAGCTTCAGGGAGCAGTCCCCTTCAAACAGCATGTCCTGGAGCATCTCCACCCTGCCTTCATACCCGATGCCTTGGAAAGTGATGCTCCCTTTCTGCTCGAAGACCGTCTCCTCGGGCGTCTGCCACTGAAGATGTGGGTTGTTTACAGAAAGTGACCGGGTCATCCCTCTCTGGGTTGTCCAATTACAGGGGAGGGTGGCAATGTCGCCGACTTGAACTAACACTGACATGGGGACAGACCAGGAGGCTGAAAGCATAGCGTGACAGTGGTAAAGTGGATTGGGATTTTGTATGACTCTATATGAGTTTTATATATTCAAGAATATCCCCCTGGGATCATTAAGTATCTTATCTTATCTTATCTTAACTGATGCGGCAGTGTTTGTCGCCATTCAAGCCACAAGTTTGTGTGGGCCCCCCTAAGGTTTGAGGGTCCCCTGTTGGCCGCAAACAATTACCACACTAAATATTACATAAACACGTTCCTTATGTTCCGCTAACTAGCTAGCTACGATATGAGAACAGAGAAACAAACAGGATCGCAAGGGGTCAAAACAGTCAAGCTAACTCAGGGAAGGGCACAGGCAACAAGAGGAGAGACTGAACTGGAGAGCACAGGACTAAGCAGGTATATATGGGACTAACGAGGGTGCTAATGATATATATATAAGGGTTAGGAATGAGACGGAAGACAAGTAAGAGGTGTGGCTTGTTAGGGCCATGACAGGGGTGAGACGGGTTGCCCCCCCCCCCCGCCGAGGCATGCACTCCAGGCATGGGGGTATGGACAGGGAACTCAGGGACCAAGACACCAGACGCACATCACGCACATCTCGTTGTTTCTGCTCTCCCCCCCCCGATTTGATA